TTTAAAATTAGTGTTTTTCTACTTAAAATATTGTATGGCTTAAGAATTCTTAGGATATTTCTAAATTATGCTACATTCCCTTGAGGTTTCCGATTTTTTTTTTTTTAACTATACATGGGTTTTACAATTAAAATACTATTTCAGCTTAAAAAAAAATTGCTAAATACCGTTCATATTTGACAAAATAACAATTTCTGTAAATTGTACTTGTTCTAAAATGATATAGTGCCCAACGATAAATTATTTTTAAAACCTTTATCATATCCTGTTTTGACTTTTTTTATTCTGACCTAATGATAAAACATCTATGAATTTTCAATTTCCAATGTAGCTAGCGACATCTATTTAAATACTTGATGATTCATGGCTTCTATTAAAATACAAACAAGTGCACAGCAAGTTCATTGACAAGAACTAAACCGGAATAAAGTGTTGACTTTACAGCTATTAAGCATCTTATCCTATTTAATGTTAAGATGAACTTACAAGAATTAAAATGGCCTTTGCTAATAAAGACACTGATTTAACGGTACTCTTTTTCTTGATTATAAATTCTTAATAACTGAAAGTTCTAGCAGTTCTCCCGAACGAGAGCGCGCACACCGGCCGCGGAGCGGGAAGCGGGCCGAGCGGCCGCCCCGAAGAGCTGCCGGCAGCCGGCCCGGCGCGGCGGACGCGGCGGGGAATGGCGAGGACGGCCCTCCGCCGGCTTCCACCGTTTCCGTGTCGTGTCTTCAGTGTAACTGGCAGAGAGAAACCTGAGTGCTTTGAACTGTCCGCCCGCAGGCACACTTTGTTAGCAGGCACCCGCAGGAGGCGCCGCGGCGGCAGCCGCGACCTCGCGCCTCGGGCGGGCCCGCGCGGACCTTTGCCCCAGCCACCAGCCGGGTGCTAGCTACGGAAGCCCGAGGGTCTCAGCCCGGGTGCCGCAAAGCCGCTGGGCGAGCCGCCCCGCCGACCCCAGGATTGGCCCCCTGCCCAGGACCTCGCGCCCCCATTGGCTCTCGCTGGCGGTGGGCTTCCACCGCGGGGAGGAAGGGGCTTGTGGAGGGCGGGGCCAGAGGCGGTGACTGGCATGTCCGTAGCCCCGCCTCTTCCGCTTCTCCGGCCTGACCTTCCTGCTGCTGGGCCATCCGAGGGAGCCGACTTTGCCGTTTTCTTAGCGATTCGGTCCGACACACGACCCCTCTCGCGCCATCATGGTGGCCTACTGGCGACAGGCTGGACTCAGGTAGGCCCTGGACACCCCCGCGCGGCCTCGTGTGTGGAGGGCGCGGCGGGGGCGGTGAGTCCCGCGTGGTCGGGCCTGCAGCCCCCAGGCTTCGGCTGCCGCCGCCACCGCCAAGATGGCGTCGCTGTGGACAAGGCGCGCCGGCGGCGAGGCGCGGGAGCCGGGGGTGTGGGCCCGCCCCCGGGGCAGGGTGAGGTGCCTGGGCGCAGGTGACCGGCTTCTGCCCGAAGAGAGTTTTCCCGTTGAACGGTGCTTGGTCTGTAACGGGCCCCTGCCGAGACTGTTGCTGAGGTCCTAAGCCACTGTCCACACCGGAAGCCTCCCCAGCCCCGGGTGAAGCCTTTCACAAGGCTGCGTGCATTTTAGGCATCTTCACTTTGACCCGCCCCCGTTGGCCTAAGGTTTCCCTGTCCCCGAGAGGGGGCGAAAGCCCCTCCTGTGCGGAGCGCTGTGCCCAGCGGTGAGCGGCGTCTGCGGGCGCGGGGGCGAGGCGCCCACCCGAGGGCCCGCGTGGCTCCCGAGTGTGGACCCGGCAGCGCGCCTTCCCGCGCAGGACGCTGCGCCCGCGGCCTGCGGAGGGCTCCGTGCTTCGCACGCTGCTCTGGCGCTAACCCCTGGCGGGGCAGGTGCTGCCTTGCCTTCTGTTGTTTTCTAGGTGAATAAACAAGCTGAGAAGGTTGAATAGCCTAAAGGTCGCCCCGTTAAGAGTGGAAGCGGGCGTTGGAACTCATGCTGATGATTCCCAAAAACAAATTTGAAAGCCTGAAAAATAAGACACTCACCACCTCTCCTTTCCTGTTTTCAAAAAATGTGAAAAGTAATGTGACTTTTTTAAGGAAAATAAGATGAGAGTCCATCTACAAAACAGGAAGCAGGCTTTTAGATATTTTGTTAGAATTGATGATGCCCTATGAGGACTTTCAAGTTTAATTTAGAAACCTTGATTAGGAAGTATTTTTAATGGCAGTCTTGTAAGACAGCATCCATTATTCTCAGGAAAGCCTTTAAATAACTTACCAGAGGAAGAAATGTTATGATTCAATTTTTTTCTTTTAATTATATATACCTGGTAGCTTTGTAAGAATGGAACAATTAAAAGAAAAGATTTTAAGTAGAGATGAGGGGGATCATCCATGTTATAATCTATTAACACTTTGGATGCTTTCATTTGCAGTGGGGTTTTTTTAATATTTAAATTAATGTACACTAAAGTATCCAGATAGAACAGTACCATGAAGAAAATCAGAATCTCCTACCTAAAGCACCAGCTAAGACTTTGACACATTTCTTTCCAGTCTTTTTTCTTTATATGCATTCCTTTTGACATTTTTAAGTAACTTTTAAATGAAGTAACTTTGAAATCTATTTTTGCAATACGTACAACCAAACCAAAATTAAAAACCCAGAAAAACAAAAACAGTGAGAGTTGTCTGATGGGATTGGGTACTAATGATTAATGTCTGCTCTTTCTTTGGCTCCCAGCTACATTCGCTACTCCCAGATCTGTGCAAAGGCAGTGAGGGATGCCCTGAAGACGGAATTCAGAGCAAATGCAGAGAAGACTGCTGGCAGCA